CGATAAGTGACGTTATCGTGTTTGATCATTGATGTTTGGGATTGGTACCGGAAAAGGTAGAGCTTAGTCAACTGTCATCAACTCTCACGGCTTTGCTGTGCTTCATTTAATTAGTTGTTGAGGTCCACTGCGGAAGGGACAGATCTTTGAAGCACCATCACGCGACAGTGACAGCGCCTCATTGCCACAAAGGCTGGTGGCAATTGACTTATGTACCTTGTCAGCTTCGCCTTTCAACCGCTGCAAATTATTGCGGCCTCAGAATTGGAATGCACAGACCATCGTCGATGCGCTCAAAGTATCAAACCTTGTGATTGTTGACCACCAGAGCGACATCAGCTACACTGACCAGATGCCTGGGCCTCAAGCATGTTGTTGATAGCAGTTAATGCTTGGCCACCTTTAAATGTTAAATTAGTTGTTTTAATACCTCATCAGTGTCAACAACACCACTGATTTTGATGGCTGTGCGCAGGCACCACATGAACCTGAAGATCCTGCTCGGGACTATTGCCTTGGGGTTGTCAACGGTGTCACGTGACCAGTGGGAGGCTGCCGCTGGAGACTCTCAACGTTTGACAGGGTGCATGATTGCGCATAAAGCGGCGCTTAAGTGTACAGTGGCATCCATTCTCTATAGTGACACGTTCAATGTGAAACATTCATCGATGCAGCGGTTTATTGATGCACTGGTAAGCCTTCCAGGGAGCAAGTGGAAGGTGGTGTCACGTGACAACATGTCGCGCGACAACTTGCCGCGTGGGGTTATCAATTTAAATCATCTTTCTGATGTATCCAAGATGCTGCGACAACTCCGGTTGACCGCCAAACGCGGACTCCAAGCAGCAAACTTCAATAGGGGTGGGTGAACAGCTGCGTGCCTGAGCAGCAAAGTTAGTTGAAAAAATGTTGGAAATAAGAGCTGCGTGCTGATTGAAACACAACCATCCGTTGAAAAAGTGACACGTTCCACTTGAATCTAGCCGTTGTTCTTTATTGATGTGTTCGATGTTTAGCTCAGTGATGTCGGGCGTCGTCCTGCAAGAGGCCTTGCAGTTGATGACCAACCTCGAGTTCGATCAAAACGTTTGCAGGACTGAAACTGGTGGTTCCAAACATGGTTCAGTGAGCAGCTACATCACGATTGATTACGTTTGCCAAACATTCAGTTTTCAGCGTTGAATGTGATTTGATTGGTTTCTTGAAACAATGTTCTTCCGCCATCAACCGCTTTGGATCAAGTCACTTGACTCTTGACTCACGACACTTCGCCAGACACCTGTTGCATCGCACAAATGGCCCTGGTGAACGATAATCGTGCTGCTCAGATTCCGGTGGGCATCGCCGTGCTGTCGAAGGATCAGTGGGATGCGTGGTTGGCAACACCATCTGGCAGTGATCATTTGACAGAAACTTGATGTTGATTTGGCATTGGACTTAATTTGAGGCCTGGTTCTTTGAGGTGTCTCGGTGACAGTGACTTATCAGTAGTGTCATTTGATGCCTTTGACATGTGTCATGTGTCATTTGAGGATAGTGACACGTGGCCGTTGACATTAAAGTTGCGGCTCCACAAGTCACCTTTGACAGCTGCCCTGTGGAAAGTGCGTGAGGACGCCAATGCCTTGAAGGTCAGCTTGTCATCTGCCACGAAGCACAAGGCCAAGTGTTTGCGGAAGACTGACCTTTTGACAGGTGGCTTTTGGCTGTGCGATGTCACGTTGCCAGATGACACGTTCCGCGAGTGGTTGAAGAAGGGAACGCTGGTACGTGACCAGGAAGAGTCCTTCACGTGTTACATGGACTTTTTCAAGATGATGAAGGAGCCATTTTGTCAAATGACACCTGCCATGTGGCAGTTGGAGGAGCGGCCATGGATCCACGCATGTGGGACGAGTCCACCAGCGCCACAGTGGACGTTCTACGTGCCGCTTGACAAAAAGACGTGTGACATGATGTTGCCAGAGTGCTGGGCCTGGATGGAAGCAGCCAACCATCGTGACATGTGGGCGCTGCTCAAGAGGAATCTTGATTTCTGCTTTAACAGTGATTTTTGTGTTTGTCATTGTTGTTTTAATTGTAGCTGGCGCGTTTTAATGATTGATTGAAGCTAAGAGGCATGCTGGCCGACGCGGTGGCAATTGGCCTGATGAAGCAGTCCCAATGTTCGAGAAGAAGAAGGAAGCTGTGATCCTCATGGCATGCATGTCATATGACAGCAACCGCATGGTCACCGTGTCAGTGAACGCAGCCACAGCGTCCAAGTTCATCAGACCCATGCCAGGGATGATGGATGTGTGGTACGCGCCAGAGGACGCCTTGCGCGAAGCAGCTGGCAGCTTGCAATGGTCCGTGTCATTTGTTGACTTGAGCACCAAAGCATCACCTCACAGCCGTGACAATTGCAAGATGGCATTCTTCCACGAGAAGAAGAGAAAGAGTGATGCATCAGCTGTCATTGACAGGACAGACGGACTGCTGTGGCTTCTTTTGATTCGGGTAGTTGATCGCCTTGCTTAAAATAGTCGATTTTATATTCATTTGATATTCTAGATTGATTTTCGCTGTCAAACCAAGTTCATGTTCAAGAACAATCTGATCCAAATCAAACATTTGATGCAAATCACGCGCAGGATCAACGAAGACATTGAGCGGACAGATAGCATTTGCAAGCGCCTGAAGACCATCAAGGAGGAACTGGCGGCTGGCACGTTGAGCAATCGAACGGCGTTTGAACAGCACAGAGAGCTGGGTTTGATGCTCCAGTGACTTGTGATCTGTGACCGTTTGGCGAGTGATGGCTCCTGAGTCTGCCACCACATGTCGCCTGATTTTGAATGATGCTGCGATGTAGGTTTTTGTTGATTGACGCCTAGGCAGCTACAGCTAATATCGCTGGCCATCTCCCTGAGTGAAAGTTACAGCTGGAGTTTCAGATTCAGATGTGAGTCATGTAAGTGTGAGAATGCGAAGTCGCTTTAACTTGACGATTGGGTTTTGTCACAAACCAGTGCATCTTTGAGATCTCTGATGGTTTGCAGGATTCAGATGACACAGCTGGTCAGAGGCAGCGTTATGAACATATCGAATGAGTTGGATTACACTCATCGCGTTTCATAATTGACACTTGAGATGATGCATTTCACAAACAGGTTGCTCTTCGAATTCCAGTCACTGGTGCTAATCCTTAATTTGCCTTGATTGAGCCAAGGTGGCAGTTATTAACAGTGATAAAGTGTTCAGACACATGACTCTTGGAATCTGGATGCGCTGCTTGATTCAATTCATGACGACATCCTGCACGCATGGCCCTGACAGGATAGTGCCGCTGCCAAGCTTTGTAGGACGTCTGAGTGAGGCAACTTCCACGTGTTGTCGTGCTTTACTGTGTTTGGATATTCAGCATTTTTTCTTTTTGCGTTCACGGAAATACGGTCTCACAAAGAGACGCTGAGCCTTTGAACTGCGCGCCAGGCTGACCTGCAAGTGAATGCTGCGTATGACAAAGCTGGTTGCCACGTGACACGTGACACTCTTTGAACATAATTGTTCGTAGACCAGGTGAATCAGGCAGCTTCATTTGAATTTGTGTCACAGTTTGACATTTGACAAATCACAGTGGCAATTCAGGTCCACTGCAGCGCAGCCGCATCAGATAGGTAGTCGCTTGCGAACTCAGACCAGCATGGTGGGCTGTTGAATTTGTGACCCTTACACATGTTTCTTTCAAATTTCATTCAAATTCATTCAAATTTAGTTCAAATTTTAGTCTTGCAAATTTGAACTAAATTTGAATGAATTTGAATGAAATTTGAAAGAAAACCATGCATTTTTGCAGTTTTGTTGATTAAAGTGCTACAAACACCAGTCCCAGTCTGGCCTGAACTTGGCAAATTGTGGCTGGCACCGCGTAGAATGGGGTCGCCAGACTTTGAGCCCGGCGCTGAACAACCTTGAACAGAGTGGTTGTTCAGCGCCGGATGGGGACAGGAGACATATGACAGCTTGACAGGAGAAAAAAGGCTGAAACAAACCCACGTTGAAACAAACGGTGATTGTCAATCATTTGATGTTTTCCGGTGGCAAGGCCCTTCCACTTCTGCCGGATGACAATTGCCACATGAACATTAATCACATGCTTTGATGAATTAAATGACAGCCAAACGTTTTGGCAACGTCAATTGTCATGACCTGGATGCTTAATGTCCCTGAATTGGTTACCCTTACACATGGTTCTTTCAAATTTCATTCAAATTCATTCAAATTTAGTTCAAATTTTGGTCTTGCAAATTTGAGCCAAATTTGAATGAATTTGAATGAAATTTGAAAGAAACCTATGCATTTTTGCAGAGTTTGTTATTCTATCAACACAAGGCTTTGCAAACCCCACCATCCCTGCATGACAAGATTTTTCAAACCAGTCGAAACGTCCACCCAGAAAATGTTTTTCCCCACCTGTCAGGTGAGGGTTGTTAGATTATATGTCAGCTGCCGTCCTCCTCCTCATCCTCCTCGTCCTCTGCCTCCTGCTCCTCCGCCTGCTCCTCACAGTGTTCGCGTCGGACCTCAACCGCGAGGTCCGGCCGGCAGCGTTCCCCGCCGGACCTCAACCGCCAGCAGTGTTCTCCGCCGGACCTCAACCGCGAGCTTCGGCTGTTCCCCGCCAGACCTCAACCGCCAGCTCCGGATGGCAGTGTGCCCCGCCGGACCTCAACCGCGAGCTTCGGATGCAGATGTTTTGTTACATTGGCACGGTGCTTCTCCATGCGCGGTAGGATTTCATCGTGCCAGAATTCACCCTGACACACCTTGAGTGGTTATTTGCTCTCTTGCGCTAGTGCAACACGGACTTATTTTTGCATCTTTAAACGTGAGCTGGACAGTCCAGACTCTTCGTGCATGCAGAGGCTGTCAGAACCGTACCAACCACCTCACTGGAAGACGGTGTTTGTGCCTGCTTTTGACGACAAATCAAGTTCGTAAGGATGCTTTTCACTCAGGTCACAGTCCCGCCTGGTGCTGCCACAGAAGCGATGGTACGCCTGGAGGTGTGACACAGTACCGTTGTTAGTCAAACAATTGACACTAGGAATCACGTGGAACATTCGACAAGCGATGGGAAGTGAGGTCGTGGAGGTTATGACCATTGCGACTAGTATATGAAGATTGGGCAACTTAGTGAGCCATCCCGCAGCCAGGGTAACACTCTCTCACTGATGAATAATTGAACGTTTGCTCGAGGAGTTGCTTGGTTCGTTCAGCAATCCGTGATGTGAGAGACCACATCGAATGCCTGTAATGTATGGTACCACCTAAACAAAGTAGCGGTAGGTGACTTGCACCTAACATATTGACTAACTTGCTTTGCTGTGCAGGAAGCCGTGCAAGCTGAAAAAGAGGCTGCTTTCCACGAATTCCAGGCCCTGGCCACATACATACATGTTCACTTCTTGTTTGGTTGAAGATCAATGAAAGGTGCAACTTGTGGCGTTTACTTTAAGTGTGGCAGACTGTGTCATTGGTGTTGGACAGAATCTATGTAGTCCAGGGTCTTAGTCTTGTACGTAGTGAAAGGTTTCTTCTTGGGTCTTCCGGCGTTGCCCACGCACACCACAATATTACATGTTGTGGCGATTGTCCTGCCTATGTCCTACATTTCAAGGTCAAGTTTATTTATATAGTGCCCAGTGCCCACATTACTTGTAGTTTCTGTTCTGTAGATGGTGGCAGAGACAAATTGAGGTCGCTTACCGCGCTTTCTCCAGCTGATTGTTTCTGCAGGAGCAACTCTATAGTCGGGAATTTCGAGATGCCAGTGGGAAGGGAAGCAGCTTGGTCCCACCGTTATTTTGCTTTTGCTTGTGTTCCTGCTAACCTTGAGTGTATCAAGCGTAAAGGGTTGGGTTAGGCCGGGTAAGCATCAGATTTTGCTATCAGATTATGCCTCAAACAAGTGTATGTTGAGGTATGTTGAGATCTAGAGAAGAACAGGACCGCCTACACCGAAGTCAAGCATTCTAAGTGTGTCTCTTCTGAAACGAAACCTCCAATGATATCCCTTTTGTTTGTTAAAATATGTTTTGCGTGTGCAGCTCGGAACATCGTATTGTAGCCCGTACATGGGCAACAAGATGGCAGCAACAACACTTCTCAGCCTGTCGAGCATCATTGACCATTTCAGAGGGTTAAACACCGAAATACCGCCATAGTGTTTTGTGTGTTTGATGTAGTTGTCGTACGTACTTTTGCCGGGCTGTGGTCGCCCAGTTTTCCTCCTTTGCCCTGCTCCGTGTCGGGAATATCAAGAAATTTTGCTAGACAGGTACTACGACTCAGGAGAATCATGTTCGTTGTCTCGACCAAAAAAGTGAGATTTGCACGGAGGCACCGAGCCCAACCCGACCACCGACCAGCCACATGGTGACCACGCGGCTACCGAGATGGAAGGCAGTGGACCTGGCAGGGCTCCGAAGGAGATGGGCGAAGCAAGAAATTTTGTGTTGGATTGTATGTTTGTTATGTTTTCTTCATCTATGACCTTTAGACTCTAGACCTTACTTATCATTGCTTCTTGTTGTTCAAGAAGAACGATCGATGCATTTGCCGTAGTTTTTTCCCTGCAACCTTTGCCAATAATTAAGGAGGAATTGAGCATCAAGAGATATTAAGAATTTTTTGGAAAGAACAGTGACAAAACATGATCAATATGCTGACATGGTATACCTCAAATCTCCATACTAAGCTATGTGTCATTGTAGTTTCATTGTCCTACCTCCATACACGGTCATTTTTGAATCCATTTATGTTGTCTTATCAGAAGCTTGGGATGACAGTGCGGGGCTAAACAGGTTTAAACATGCTTAAACTTTAAACTGTCTAAACATTAAACTGTTAAACATGTTTGCGGCTTTTGCGGCGGAAGGAGCTAAACGTTTAAACATGTTTATGCCGGCTGTTTGGTTTAAGCAGTATTAAACATGTCCGTGAGCAGAAGCACATGTATACAAGCAGTGGTTAAACGTGTAAGATGGACACGATACCGATAAAAGCATGTGTGATCCTGTGTGGTTTGCAGGTGTCTTTGTTTGTTTGTTTGTTTCAGAGCACGCTGCTTCATTTGAGCCATGGTCAAGCGGAAGCAAGGAGATCAAGTTGCAGAAGCACAGATCAAACGATCGAAGGCTGCCGGTGGTCCACCGCCAGCGCTTCATGCAAATGACTTGGCCCGAAAGAGGCCTGATGGGCGATCATGGGTCTATGACTAGCTTCATCACCGGGAGGGTGATGAAAGCCCTGCCTATGCAAGAGGCCTGTTTGCGTACCCCACCTTGCCAAGAGCTATCCTTTTCTTTAGGAGGCGCCTATTTCTGTAGCATCTGTGCCAGTGGCAAGAAGAACACGCACGATGCCCCAGCAGGTGTGATCCAGCTACGAACGCCTGCACTGGGTCCCCTGTCTCGACGCCCGCGGCAGAACTAGAAGAAAGAGCTTGAAGACTACGCGGCGATTCCTGCAGAGGCTAAAGACTTGCTGGTTGAGGCGAGCATGTTTGATCCAATGTCAAGGATTTGGCATAGCTGCCTGAGGCTCTTTTCTCGCTTTGGCTCGACCTCCTCCCCAGCAAAGTCTGCTTCCGAGCCTGCCAGCAAGAAGGAAGATGAGAAAGAGATTGAATCACTTTGGCCTTCCTTTCGGAATCAGTGGTGCAACAAGGTTATGGCTTACCTTTTGAGTCTAGTCCCTAAAGCTTATGTCTCCCAGGGCCCCTTTTTGGTTTTTGAAGCACCGCGGACTTGCTGAATATGAAGAAATGGTCTTGCCAGCGCGATATATCTTCCCTGAGCATTGATATTGATTTGCCTTGAATATCAATATCAAAATCAATATTTTCTATTGATTTGGTTTTGGTGTTTTCTGTTGATTTTGATGTGCACTTTTCCTTCCAAAATATGATGAAAATATTGATTTTGATATTGATTTTGATTTTGATTTGGATATTGATTTTGGCCAGGCACAAAGCCAAGGCTTGCATAGACCCATCCTTGCTGCTGCAAGTGATGGGCAACCATGGGGACTTGCTGGTTGATCTGGGATCCTATGAGAGCAGGAACAAGCAAGGTGCTGTAAACCCTGCTGGATTGGTCAGGTGCCTACCCCTTGCGAAAGGGTTGTTGGGTGTGTGCCCCAGAGCAGAGGTTCCATCAGGTCCTCTGAGGCAAGCTCTTTTGAGCTTGCTCACCTCTATGCCAGAGGTGAACAAGAGCAAGTTCAATGGCAGCACATGGAGCAGCCTGGAGGCTGAGAGGCTGACCACCCTGTTTGCTCATGTGAGGAACCCATTGGCATGGTGACCTTGCCAGAGGAGGGTGAGCCCTTGGAAAAGGGTGAGAAAAGCTTCCTTGGAGAAGGGGCAAGCCTTGAAAAAGGACATTGCTGCAAAGCTGCCCTTGCAAAAGCGAAAGCTGCTGATGAGATTTCTGTGGATTCTCGTGGTGTGCCTCTGATCTTTTGCACACCAGACAAGGCAGGCAGCTCGTCCTCCAGACCAAAACCCTTCATCAACAGAAGGGAAGGCGCCATGGTCCATGGACATAGCTCCCAGGCCTTGCAAAAGGCATTGGGATATGGTACCACTGAGCCAGCAGCAGCCCTTGCAAAAGGGAAGGTCCCTGCCAAAACCCTGCCAAAACCCTTGCAAAAGGGAAAGGCAAGAGCAACAATGCCTCTGCAAAGGCCCTTGGAAAAGGGAAGGGTGACAAAGCTGCTGCCAAGGCCCTTGCAAAAGGGAAAGGCAAGGGCAAGAAGGCCTCTGCAAAGGCCCTTGCAAAAGGGAAAAGGGGTGGCAAAGCCTCTGCAAAGGCCCTTGGAAAAGGGAAAGCTTCTGCAAAGGCCCTTGCAAAAGGGCAAAAGAGGCCCCTTGAAAGGGAGTGAGGGCCCCTGGTATGCCTTGAGAAAGACAAACGCCAAGAAGCCCAAGAGAACATATATCACAGGTGTCTTGGCACCAGGGAGTGGCCACCCAAGGAAGCTTATTGTGGAGGTTCCAGCCACTTGGAGCTCTCAGCATGACTTGATTTGCAACAAAATCATGAAAGCCTTGGAAAAGGACAGCCTCAGCAAAGCAGAGGCCTTGAAGATGAGAGAGGAGCTAGTGGCAGCCTACCCTTGAGATGCTGTTGCCAAACACCCTTGCCAAAGGGGTGAAGAGCTTGCTCACCCTTGCAAAAGGGTGCAGCCCTTGCCAAAGGGCATGAACCCTTGCAAAAGGAAGCAGCCCTTGATAAAGGGCATGAACCAATCCTTGCAAAAGGTGTTCCTTGCAAAAGGATGGAAGCAGCCTGGATAAAGGGCATGAATCAATTCTTGCAAAAGGTGTTCCTTGCAAAAGGATGGAAGCAGCCCTTGATAAAGGGCACAATCAATCCTTGCAAAAGGTGTTCCTTGCAAAAGGATCGAAGCAGTCCTTGGTAAAGGGCATAAATCAACCCTTGCAAAAGGTGTTCCTTGCAAAAGGCTGGAAGCAGCCCTTGGCAAAGGGTGTGACCTTGAAAAAGGATACCCTTGGAAAAGGGTTCTGCACCAAGACCTTGAGAAAGGGCTTTGTTAAAGCTAGGCCTTGAAAAAGGTTTGTACATATGTACATGTATAGCTGGATATAGCGCTAGCATCTTGGAAAACAGCTGCTGCTGCTGCTGCTGCTGCTGCTTTTAGCTGCTTTCTGGTGTTGGTTTCTTCTAGTTGTTTTTTCTAGGGAGGTGTTGTTGTTTTTCTTCTTGGTTCATGTGTTGGGTTTTGGTTTTGTGGTGTGGGCTTGGTGTTCATGCCTTGATGCACCTGCAGCCATTTGAGCTTCAAGCGGCTCAGCTGAGCCATCTTGCAGGGAACCCTGCAACATGGAGGTGGATGAAGAAGGAGATGTGGTGGAGGATTGGGAGATGTGGGATGTGGAGGAGGGCTGGGAGGAGGAGGAGTGGGAGGAGGAAGAATGGGATGAGGAGGAGGAGGAGGACTCCTCCTCCTCCTCCACCTCTACCAATGAAACAGATGTGGCCCCTGCACCCAAAAGGAATGCGCGTGGGAGGGTTTGGGGGCAGCGGTCCACATCCAGGGCCAGGCAGGCAAGGAGGGCTGCACAGTTTGGCAGACTCCATCACGCTCCTGCCCTTCCTGCTCCAAAAGGGCTTGCAAAAGCCAAAGCCAAAGGGCTTGCAATTCAACGCCAAAGGGCTTGCAAAAGCCAAAGCCACAGGGCCCGCAAAAGCCAAAGCCAAAGGTGGCAAGCTAGAAGGTGATGGCCCTGGAGACCTTGCAAAAGGGAAGAACCTTGCAAAAGGGGAGAACCTTGCAAAAGGGAAGAACCTTGGAAAAGGTGAGAACCTTGCAAAAGGTAAGAACCTTGGGAAAGGTCAGAAGCAGAGTGGGGGTGACCCCAAAGGGCTTGGGAAAGCCAAGAGGAGGAAAGGCCTTGAAAAAGGTGAGCCCAAGGAGACCAAACCTCTTGCAAACTCAGAAGGACTGCCATGACTCAGATGAGGATGGGTAAGTTTGGCCTCAGGAAAACCCTTGCAAAAGGGTCAGCAGCCAGCAGCTCAGCAGACCATTGGGATGATGAGCAGGAGGCAACCCCTGAAAAAAGGGACAAGGAAAAACAAGAAGCACAAGCAGGAGGATGAGCCCTTGGAAAAGGACTCACCCAACCTTGCAAAAGGTGATTCCTTGGAAAAGGAATCAGGCAAGGCTTCCTTGGAAAAGGAATCAGGCAAGGCTTCCTTGGAAAAGGAAGCAAAGAAGGTGTCCTGCAAAGAGGAAGGGGCCACCTCTGCTCCTTCCAGGCCCTCTAAGCCCCTTGCAAAAGGGCAGGAGGCACCAGCTCTTGCAAAAGAGGGTGATGAGGAGCAATCCCTTGCAAAAGGGGCAGGTCAGGCACAATCCCTTGAAAAGGGGGTGGTGATGCATCAGCAGCCCTTGGCAAAGGGCAAGAAGAGTCAACCCTTGGAAAAGGGGCTGTGCCAGTCAAGGCAGCACCATCACCTCCACCTTGCAAAAGGTGGAAGGTGATGGTGGACTGGCACAGGACTCTGAAGGCTGGCCCTGATGACACCAGGGCCCAGGACTTGGAGGCTTTCCATCAACTCCTTGAAAAAGGAATTGGTGTGTACCTCTGTTCTTGGTGTGGGAGAACACAAAGACAGAAGGTACAACATGAGATGGAGAGCCTCCTTGGCCCCATGGTGGTGCAGGAGTTGATGTGGGTGGGCGCCACCACTGCCAGGACTGGGCCCAGGGGCAAGGCTGACCTTGCCACTGGGTTTGGGCGCGGTGTCATTTTTGATGACGGAGATGACATCTTGTGGGAGTGCAATGACTGGGGCATCAAGTGCTTTGGCATCACCACACCCAAACAACCACATGAGTGGATGCCAGAGCACAGGAGGTTCCCAACCTTTGCTGAGGCAGCGCTGAGCTTCATGAG